AATTATAGACGAACTTATATCCTCCGAATGGGAACTGGCTACTGCGGCCCATGGACACGCAATACGATAGCTCACCTTTAAATTCATTGTACGAAAGTAAACCGAAAGTTCTAGTCTTACCGACACAATTTTAAGTGCTGACTCACATGATGGATGGCGAAGAAAAATATCATGAGGAAACCTGCATGATTGAGAGCCCACTAAAATGGATTGGGACTACGGGGCCCACTCTTTCCTGCTTTAGAATCCTTATAGAAACGAGTTGGAACCTGCCTATATGTTTGTTGGGATATATGACATCATTTAATAAGCGAAGAATTTGATCAAAAGGAATACTGCAATAAATATAATTTAGTTTAATTGACGATTTGAAAAGTGTCAATAACTCGATCTAATAAGTCGACAGCGTTATAGTTAACCGCTTGGGGAAAGAGATGTAAATAAAATCAACGCAATTGTATTTTAAATGCACATGTATTCGTTACAATTACATTTAATATAATAATAATAATTTATATCTCTTAAAAACTATTAAAGCTGGCACAGATTTTAATTGGTTTCACCGCAACGATTTTCTATTCCTATTTCAAATTTCAAGTAATTAATAACAATATTATAGTAACTGCTAGAGATATAGTATAATACACTAAAATGATAACAACGGCATAGACACATTAAACACATACATTCATTCAGACATCAATACATTTTATTAAAAGTTAAATTTAGCACAATATTATTAATAAAAAAAGCATTTAATAACATTACCAGGAGCAAATGCATTAGGTGCAACAACCTAAGGAAATAAATATAACTAATAATAACATTTACAAGGGGAAATAGTTCTCTGATCTTTATTAGTTATTTTAGTATCTAATATTATGAAATAATGTCTAACAAACAAAATTACATATTAAATACATTATTTTTTAATAAAGGTATATTCAAGATAGAAAATCTACGAGCAAACCAGTGTAAAAATCTAAAATCATTAACAAAAAATGTAAAATATTTATAGTGCAAGTAAAACGTACCTATTTACATTACAATTTACATTTTACATTGAGGCAGGCATTTTGCACTTACGTAAGTAAATACGAACTTGAAAATAACGTATATGTGAAGAAATAGCCGTTCTGTACAAATTTTCTAATGAATATGCTTAAGTGAGAAGGAGCCTTAGCTTGCTAAAGTATATCTAACGAGTAAAGAAGTAACATAATTTTAAATATCTTGTTAATTAGATAACACTATAAATATTGTTACCATACAATAACAAGGTGGGTGTCTTTAAGTGCGTTCAAGTGCGTTTTACCATCTTTCACTGTATCATCCCTAACCATCAACAAATTTTTATTAGCAATGGTTTTCCACTTCACAAGTCCACTGCTGAACATAGGCATTCCTCAAGGAATGCCACAAAGCACAGTTCTGAGCTACCCGCATTCATCGAATTCCAGCATCTCTTACCATACCACTTATCGTAATGGTGGTGACCATGATGTGATGACACGTGAAATGGTTTATAAATAGTAGTGTTTATATACATCAGAACAGTACAAACATCACGATACAGTAGTTAGTATAGTACAGTATAAGCATTGACTCATTTCTGTTTTACTTGCTGTATAAATAAATTTGGGTAGGTATACAACAAAATAAATTACTTAGATATTACGACTATTTAAAGAAAAAGAAACATTTGATGATAATAATTGATGTCCTCGAAACTACAAGGAAACGAAAGTATATCCCTAACATCACAGAAAATAAAGAGTGGAGAGTTATTACATTTCTTAGTATCAATCTAGTCTAAAGATAGGCTGACGAAACGCAATAAATAATGTAAACAAAGTTCCAGGGGTTCATAACATGTGTTACTAATTTTTAGTAGCATAAATAAATTTATCATTGACGCCTGTAGAAGTAAATAAGTCTTCAAAAGAGTCTTAATCTATCGATCATATCGTCAACTTTTCTATAAAACTATTTTTTATTTTTATAACAATAAAAATCCTACACAAATATTACACAAAGACTTTGGTAGTAGTTTTTTGTAAATTAATTTCTTTTACGGGCTTGTAAATAGAGTCCTGGTAGCTCAGGAGCTAAGCCCTCGCCATACATTTTACTGTACGCGAACAGAACGGGTTCGATCAACAAAGATACCAATGAAATTGTTAATTTTAATTTTAAATCACGTGCTCGGCGGAGAAGGAAAACATCCAAAGTAGGGGATTCCTAGGAAAGGAATTATGCAAGTCTGACAATTAAAAATTATTTCGAAGGAATTTGAAGTGCCTTAACATGCTTTGGGGCAGGCAGTGCGGTGGATACTTTCTTTCCCTTATTACCCTCTCGATAGGAGGTCTGTATCTAGTCAAGAGACGTATACAATTTATGTGCGTAAAATTAACTTTAATTTTAAGGGTTCGTAGCAGCCAAACGCGCGAACTGCGACTCCATAGTAGAAATCCTTCATTACATTTAACTAGTAATGAAAATAATATCAAATAATATAATAAAAAACACTAACAATAACGAATATGTAACATTAAATAAAAACAAAAAAAAAAAAAAACGGGAAGAAAAGCTATAAGTAACACTTCGGGCACAGTACAAGAAGGAATTAACTTTAACTCACAAGATGGTGTATTTTTACCAAATGTTGTTAACGTATAAAGCGGCCGCTTTTTCGTAACATAAAGGACATAGCGATAGACATGACACAAATGACATCCGACGAAATTACGTGCGGGAGAAAAGAATGGAGATACTCATCAGTCGTTATCGTTCCTTAACTCCGTACAAATCAGCGTGTTTGTGATTTTATCTCAGCCGGTGGGCTCACTTTAGGGTTACCATAAATGTTGGAACGCCGATCGGGATACTTGAAATAAGAAAGGCGTACTTATATACCTATCATCATCATCGTCATCATTACAGCTCATCATATACCTACTGTTAAACAAATGCTTCCCCAATATTACTGAAAAGCACGGTCCTGAACCACCTGCATCCACGTCTCCCTGTATATTTTATTAGGTTGTCACTATCAAATGGGGGGGAGGGGTTGACTAACAACACGCTTGTCACTTGCTTGTATGCTTACTATACACCTATATCATGTAAATAAAAAAACTTGTTTAATCTTATATAAATTATAGTAAAACATTTAAACATTGGGATAAAATATTTTACATTTTATTTGTGCCAGATATTTATAAAATAACTATACAATTCAACATCGTTATTTTCTTAGGCTTACTCATCTTCATTTATACCACTTTTTTGCGTTTCACGTTTTAAGATGGCTGTCTACCTATTGTTTTAATTTTGCGTATATAGTATACTATAAACATGTTCAATATTCTACAGTGTGTGAACCAGATAAAAGCGTTTTTGGAGCATACGACCGCTTTAACTGCCTTATTGACCAGGACATGGGGTTATAACCCCGAACACGTCCCAATGTACGGAGACATATGGCTACCCTAGTCTACTTCGTGAGTGGCTATACATCGATATACATATCTGGTTTTCTTTTTTCCAAAGTGTATAATTCCAAAGTAAATAAACGAGTATTTTTTATTATGTACTAATAAAATTGTATCCTCCAGAGAGAATTTAGGTCACGGCGGCCAGCCTTAAAGTATAATAGTCATCGGCGCAGGACAGGATTGTAGTACCCAAGTGTATACAAGCACAGGTACAATTTTTATTCCCTCATTCTTATAGTTCGATGGGACGGTAAACAGACAAAACCGGCGAGAGATTAGGTGCAGGATGGTTTTACGTGCTGCCGAGGTACGGGGATGAAACACATTTTCTTGACAGAAAAACTCAAAACCCCTTTTTTTGGCCTGATCCAATACACGATTCCAACGTTCTGTAATATTACTCGTTACATAATTATAAATACCATACTAATAAATATGTACTAGAGAAGTATAATATTACTGTATTTTGACATAGACACTAATAAAAAGAAAAAAACATCTGCGTGGGAATAAAAACCCGAGAGCAGATCAATTGTCTATGCTATAGATAATCAAATCCAACCATTGCAATTATTCAAATTTACAATTATTATTTAAATTTACTAATTCGTCTAAGATTTCTGTTTTTAAAATACAACTTGTATAATCGTTGCAAAAGCATAGGAATACTTATCATACATTGAAAGTAAAATGTACTTACTTGTAAAGTTAAGTGGCTTGTTTGTTTTCATAATATATTTATACAATATCGCAAAAATGGACGTTTTTCAAAACCATATTAAAAAACGTAATGTTTATATACCGTGGACGTCAAGCACTATTTTGAATTATATTATAATATGTTAAAAGCTATGTTTCTAAGTAAATAGATATTGATATATAGATATTAACCTATTAAATTTATTTTATGGCAGGAACAAAATATAAATTCTCTAGACAACACTTTCAGGTCGATAACAATTATTTATAAATATTCAAAACTTAAATGGTAGGTTTAATTACACTAGGTAAAACATTTTCAACGCAATAGTTGTAATAAATTATTAAAAAGTAATGTGTTATTAAATTGAAACACGCGCGAAATAATTGTGACGGGATAAAACTAATATTACAAATAGATAGAAACGTTTTCATTTTTGGATTATATTATCCTATTATAATTAAAGTAACAGGTAAACACATTTCCGCTAACAAACATTTAATATCAAATAATAACGTCGCTATATAGTCACAGTAGCCAAATCTTATGTACGTGTTCGAATTAGAAAAATCCATTGTAAACTTTGAGCAATTTAATACAAAGTTTATCAACTTTCTTTATCAAATTTCTATTTTAATTAAAATAATTAGATATAATTATTTTAATTAAAATAGAAATTTGCAAATTTACATAACATAATCAGCAACTTACATCAGTTAACTATACTTTTATTATTATTACCATTTAAACAATATTTAATTTAGATCTAAATAAAATTATTGGAATGAGTGGAAAAACGATTAGCAGTGTGCAAAGAGCTTGAAAAATCCACGTCCCTTTTCAGGTGCTGGTCCCATTAGCATTGGAACTTGGTTTTTGTGCGTTATTGTTATCTGCAATTAAAATACTGCATTAATTTTGGTAATTATTAAAAGAAAGTGAAGTATATATAATAGCGGTAAAATGTTTATTTAATAGTAATTATAAAATAATTTCATCTTTACAGCTTATTACTATACAGTTAACTGTTAAACCCCCCAGCTGGGATTCAATCAACACAAGACCTGTGACAACCAACACAACCTCTGCTCTGCCTCGAAATTACGCGGTCGTCGTTTTGTTTACGTGACGGATCAAAGACTTCTATATTGAAAGGACATAAATAATTCAATGCACTGTTTACCTTGCAAGGTGGTTGCATCCAAGGCTCGCCGTCAATTTGCATCGGAAAAGTTCTCTTCGTTGTTATTGTTATAGAGCTGCATTGTGCTAGCCGACGTCCTGATGCCCTAAGACCTATAATAATAATAATAATAATTCATTTATTGCATTACTGTGTACAAGTTAAAGATGACATATTATTAACACAACAGCAGTTGCCTCATCAGTCGTGCAATAGATTTACAATTTTCATTTTAAACATAATATATATATATATATATATATATATATATATATATATATATATATATATATATATACTTCTATAAACCTAAGAAATAAATGGTGTAGACATTGTAGTAAGTTGAGTAAAAATCTAAATAAATTATTCAGGCAAAGAAAACGTTGCTAGATAATCTGTTTTTATTTTATAAGCTAAAGATGAGTCATCCTCAAATGATAGGCGTGCTGGAAGAAATTTAGACATGAAATAAGCAGTTCCTTAGTACGTGTGTTCTTTCATTTCATTTATCTATCATGCATGTGTTTACCTAAACTATTCAATAAAAAATAATAAAAGTATTATTATCCATCTGGTACCCGTTAAAATTTTTACCCAGGCGAAACATTACTTTAAGACTAACATACATAGGTATAAGTTGGGCGCAAAATTTCCTTTCTGGAAGGGTTATGAAATATAACAATATATGAGTTTACTGCGATGCTATATTTCCTCGAATATGTTCATTTATCATAAATTCAAGTTCCCTCCCGCTGTTTGTACAACTATAAAATTCAATTCCTTCTATTCGTGAAATCAGAACAGTCACTTTGTCAAACAAACTAATAAAAGACTTATTTGTTATTTCTCTCTGTTCTCTGTCTGTAGCTCCTACATCTTTGATATTTATTATACTCATTTATTTGATATAATTATATAAATTTGTGTCAATATTTGTTAATGAGTTTATGTCCATTAAGTATGCTATATTTTATTAGAAGAAATTTCACTATGAAATAAGTAGTTCCCTTGTAAATAATTAGGTCCTCGCGTATTCGGTTTAGCGGCTGATTTATTATAATTTGTTTCGGTGAAGATTGTAAAAAGTATTTTTACATATGTATAAATTATTTATCTCACCTGTTCGTACTTGTCCCATATGTAGGCAATTCTCCAAACCTATAACTTCTATAAGTTTATCACCGATGTCTGTAAAATATAAAGATATATATATTATAGCTTTAGTTGTTTCAAATGAGCGAGATAATACGTATGCAACTTTCGTAATATGGAATTAAATGCTGGTGTGTATGAAGATAATTAATTTTGAAACTCATATTTACAAGAATATGTATGACTAATAATAACAAGGTGTTAAAGATCGTAAAATTAATTTGCTTATATCCATCATTTTATTTTATTCTTAATTGAGGTAGAACGAGAGGTGCTATTTAGACTACACAAGACACGTCATTTTATTTTGTACGCGGATATAAATTTTTAAGATCTTTAACGAAGTAACGCCTGTTTAATTAAAATAACAAGACAGTTACTAGAGAATAAGTAAAATGCCCTGGGCGTGAGTTAACAAGCAAGAACAAATTTTTTGAATTTTTGAATTCATTATTTTCACTTGTTATTGTAATGAACGTTAATTATCAGGAAGCATTAATAAAGCCGGAATCAATGTTAGGAGTAAATATCTATTACGGCTACACTATTTCGATTTAATTTTTTTAACCTTGATGTTACAGTTATTTGGTTAGTAAAACGTATTTACAATATTGGACTCCACATTTTTAGCTTTTAATACATAATGTAATTTACATTTTAAATCTATTCTTATTATAATTTAAACCTTTAATTAGGTAATTATAACAATAAGGTAAAGATAATAAAACAATTTTAAATATTTTAAACTTTTAAAATGATAGTACCTATGCATATGTCATCGCATATAAATTAGGTAGAATACATTTAGGAGCGAATTAAATATATTTTTCCCATTCATACTAAATATTTATTTTATATTATTTTAGAATAAGATTTATTTTAAGATATATTATTTCTAAAAAAATATATCTGTAATATATTTTTTTAGAAATAAGACAAAATAAAAAGACGTGTGGCACTCGGGGACTGCCGCGGTAAAGCTATTGGATAGCATTTTTTATCAACTTATGCAATTATAATTAATTATTTATTTTATTTATGCAGTTAAGTCTTTGATATTAAATCAAGTTACACTTTTTGAGCGTGGTGACCGATAAGAAAACAATTTTTTTTCTCTTATTGTATAAATGAGAAGTTAATATTGTTTAAAATATTTTTAATATCTTACAATACATGTAGGTTATTCAGGAATTTTTATCATTCAGTTAGCAGCTAGTGTACACGCATACGACTAGTCGCACGCACACAAACACCGTGCCGAAGTCTGCCGAGTGCCGAAGTCTGCCGAACTGAAACGACGTTAGACGATGCACGGCTTTCAACGCCACACCTCCGTGCCCGTCGGAGTGGGGAGCGTGAGGTTTTTTTCGTTACGGAATTTCTGGATTCGGTCCCCGCGCTCAAGGCCCGCGATAGAAGCTATGCAATAGCTTAATATTCTGTAAATATTTATTAGTCATGGTGCGACTGTGAGGGTCCCACGGCAATGGCCCATCGAATGCCAATGCCACGTACATGTAAATATTGTTGTATAACTGAATTTGCTGAGATAATATTAGTATTATGGTAAGGGGTAATTTTGCAGAGAAGGTTAAGAATAAGTAATAGGCAAATGGTAAAGAAAAATTAATTTAAAAAATATCGAACATTCTGTCCTTTTTATATTTCAAATTCAAAATGCGGGGTAATGCATTATTTTAACTGATTTTACCTCGCAAGCACACAAACTTAAGGGCCGATCGGTAGGCAAAAAAGTTGTTGCTATAAATAACATTCGATTTGGGACAATTTCAAATAAAAGTAGAAGCCTTATTTACTCGTATTTTCAAAAACTGCAATAACATTATGTCATTATTTATATATTTGAACTTAAGTTTAAAATTTGGCTACTCTTTGAAAAATAACCCTGTTTAATAATCTTCACGTGGTAGAGCCAAGCCGCAGTTATATTATGATTGCAGCATGATTGGATCGACTCAAACGTGGAAGGACCACTTGTGCTTGAGTGCTGAGTTTTATTGGAAATGAGGCATTCCATATTAGTCGTAAGTAGTAAAGTGTAATAACTTTTTAAACATTGCCTTTGTAGATAGAAAGAAAGTATATAAAACCTAGGTTTTCAGTTATATCTACAAATTCTGATTGAATAATATTATTTTTTATAGTCGCTTGATTAACTATCATAGAACCGGGACCTCTTAACTGTTGTGTACATAAAATACTATATACTAATAATAATACACAATAGAATGGCTGTCAACTTTATTTTGTACGAGGTTTGGCGTCGTCAAACCCGATTCGCTGTGTCGAAAGACTGAATAAATTTACACATTTTAGACTTTTGATTAATGTTCAAGATCATCATTAAAAAATCGTTTAAATTTTAATACCTATTTATTTGTAAATAGGGTGCAATTTGGCATTTTTTAAATAATTTGCATGCGAAATTTTGAAACGATTGTAACGTCAAAACACATCTCGTATTGACATTTATACGTGTGAATTGACGTGTTATTGACATTTTAGTGGATACGCGGGCTCCGCCCACTCGCCCGTTCTATCATGTATGTATTACAGTATTCTTTGGTTATGTAGGCTGTCCTGAAATGCGATAAAATGATTTATGACATCGCACGAAGGTCTTTCATATAACATGGTTATTCACGTAACGCATGTCATGCTGCATTACTGTCTAGGGTCTGCTAACTATTCTAGGTTGATCAATAAGATTGTGGAAACGCAATGAAACTCTAGAATAAGTATATTATGTAAATTGTATTTATTTTTCAACGAAATCACCTTTTAAGCTAATACACGTTGGTTAATTCCCTTGGAAAAAAATGCTTGATCCTGGGGCTCGAAAAAGGCCTCTACAGCACACATCACCTCATTGTCGCCGTCGAATTTTATACCACGCAAGTGCTTCTTCTTGTTAAAAAAATGCAAATCACTTGAAGCTAGGTCCGTTGGCTGTTATGATGGCTGAATATGATGGCTGTTGCATCAAATGAAACCTAGCAGTTAGATCGATGCGCAGGGGATTATTATGACGAAAAAGTATTCCTCGACGTTTATTCTTTAGTCCTTCGCGTAGTTTTTTGATTAATGATGCGTAATAATCTCCGGTTATTGTCTCTTCTTTACTTAAATAATATAATAATGATCATTATTATACCTTCTGCATACTAGAAAATAGAGGCCAATATTTTTCCAATGGACGCAGGAACTCTTAATCTCTTGGCTGGCGGGTAAGACGGTTTTTTCCACACCTTGCTTTTGTTTTTCGTCTCCGGATCAAAATGGTGTACCCCCTTTTTATCTACGGTTATGAAAAGAGCGCAAAAATCTGGATATTCTTCAATTATTGCTAAATTTAATTCGTCGTAATTGCAGGCGGTTCTGCCGCGTTTAAATTAAGTTAAAACAGTACATCACCGTAGAATACGACGAAACATTGTCTGCCAAAGTAGATTACAGTTCTTCAATAACACTTTTTGTTGAAAATATTTTTAGGGGAAAGATTTAATAACCACACGAAGTTTGAGTTTATCCATTTTGCATACGAATCGAATTCCCGCCAATTGGCCTTGGCCTTGGCTCCTAAGATTCGAAAAAAAAGAATGCATTTTTTTAAATCATTGATAAATGGTCCTATTTCGAAAACTTATTGATCAACCAGTTACAATCCTAGAGATGTGACCAGAATCGACCAAGAGGATATTATCAGAACGTGGAATAGTAACGTGGAATATAACTTAAAAACTAAATTCTTATTATTTAAATTTTGCGAAGTATTTATAAATATTTGATTGAAAAAAAAAACCATTATAGCAAAAGTGCCATAATAGTTTTTTTTTCACAAAATTATATATTGTTTCACTCAAACCGCGTACCTTGTTGAGCGTTAGGGAAACGACCACGACGGTGTGCTCCGCTTGCGCCCCAAAGGTTGGAACCGCCATGGGCGTACGGTATGTTCAAAAGTGCCACCCCTTGTAGCGCTGGTCCCTTGCTTAGTTCCAGAGACAATCCATCACACTGTAAACACGTTCAGAATGTTTTGAAATGTCTAGTCTAAAAACTCACTTCGATTCTAACAACCTTAAAATATTATTAAAAATGTTAATTAAGACTTAAATGTAATGGTAATGGAGATTCAATGGTATAAACCTATGTTTATCGGAGGTAGCACTTATGTGATAGAACCGAAGGAGCTTTGGAGGCAGTGTCGTTGACGTTTCCGGGATGAACCGCTGAAAACTGTGTGTGCTTACACAAATCAATGTTGATTGCCACCATATAATACTACACATACAAGCAATTACGTCGTATTATCAGTTCATCACTACTACAAACCCGATTCCCTGTGTTGACAGACGGATATTGATACATATTCATTTGTAAATAGCGTGCAATTTGGCATTTTATAAATAATTTGCATGCGAAACTTTTAAACGATTGTAACGTCAAAACACATTTCGTGTTGACATTTATACGTGTGAATTGACGTGTTAGTGGCATTTTAGTGGCTACATGGGCTCCGCCCACTCCCCCGTTCTATTATGTATGTATTATAGTATTCTATGCTTGCCACTCTCGATTCTAATCAAATGAGAATCGACATTAAGACCTCACAGATTACGACTCAATATTTGATGTAATTTTACCAAAACTTCAGGGAAAGCTTCGGATCGATAGATATTAAGTGCTTAAGATTTATTGAAAAATACTCAAGAATCGAAAGACCAATTATATCGATACTAAACCAAAAAAGTCTTCTAAGATTCAACCTAGATCGTGAACCCGTATCTCAGCAGGTAGGTGAGCTGTCTATCAGCTGGTAAGCAAGTGGTAAAATTAAAAAATCCGTGTGGCACTCGGGGACTGCCGCGGTAAAGCTATTGCATAGCATTTTTTTATCAACTTACGCAATTATAATTATTTATTTATGCAGTATTTTTTTTTCTTTGATATTAATTCAAGTTTTTTCTTTGATGTTAAATTCAATTTACACTTTTTGAGCGTGGTGGCCGATAAGAAAACAATTTTTTTTCCTTTATAGAATAAATGAGAAGTTAAATACGTCTAGTCGCATGCACACAAACACCGTGCCGAAGTCTGCCGAACTGAAACGATGTTATACGATGTTAAGTTTTGGGGTGTTAGGTTTATTTTCCTTACGGAATTTCTTGATTCGGTCGCCGCACTCAAAGCCCGCGATAAAAGCTATGCAATAGCTTAACAAAGGAACTGAATAGTACACGTGCTTGGTTCGATGGCTTCTGTTATATACATATCATTATGTATACATAATGAGGAATGAATTTATATATATATATATATATATATATATATTGAGAATCTAAATTGAGAATTTAACGCGTATGTGTGTTTGTGTGTATAAAAGAGGGCATTTTAATATCAAAAATTTAGATAATGATTTCTTATATTTACGCGAACACTATATCGCGTTTTGTTTATATTAATTTTAATACCCGACGTTTCAGGTGCTTTCCAGCACCCATGGTCACGGGGGACTGAGGTGACTGACGTCCCGATGTCATAGTTAACCCGAAGTACCTTCAACTTTTTAATTATTGTTTTTGGTCCGATCTACGCAGAATGAACTAACTGTATTTTGAAGTCTTGCAGTGGTATGCTTGGGTTTAGTTTTAATTTTATTAATTATAGGATCCCAAGCAGGTGGTACTACCCAGCCTCCTTCTCTATTGAAATTAGGATGTTTATTTAATTTCAATAGCCTCACGTATCATCCTTGGTAGGAATCGATGTTCTTTCGCGAGGATTTGTGGTCTATCAAATCTGATGTAATGGTTGGGGCCATCTAGAATATTGTTACGAGCTTGAGGTTCGTGACAATAAAAATTGCCGATAAAATTACCTAAATTAACACTTTAATTTACTTTACACAAATTAAAACTTAAAACACTAATAATTAAACACACTAATTCACTTTATTCCGCTCCGAAGCTTCGCTTGTCTCGCCAAATCCAATACTGCCTCGATCGCATCTTGCAGCGCCTATTTATATAAATTAGCAAAGAAATATCCAGAATGTTCAAGTAAACACGCGCAAGGTACCGAGAGTTCGAGTTTTAAACTTCAAGAAGTTTAGTTCTTCGGTTCGAGACTGGATGGCGCTAGTGCCGTCGACTTGAGCGCGTAACACTGCCCCCTCCTAAGACATGCTCGTCCCGAGCATTATCGGTCGCATTATAACGCGCTAGGCGATCCACATGGACGATCTTAGGAGTCCCTCTTGCGCCTTTCTGTATCCGGTAGGTTACATCGTTGATCCTGGTCACAATCCGGTACGGGCCGTCCCACTTAGCTTGAAGCTTAGGAGATTTCCCTTTGCTGCGGACTGGATTGTGCAACCACACAAGTGAACCTTCGTCGAACCCTTTGTTGTTCATTTTGCGGTCGTACCGGGTTTTCATCTTTTCAGACATTTGCTGGCCCGATTGTCTGACGTGCTCATAAACGTCATTCATTTTGTTCCGCAAGTCATTTGCATAATCGGTTATACTACGTGGAGCATCAGGTGGTATCCCGGTGATCAGGTCTGCAGGCAGCCGTAATTCTCTTCCAAAGTTTGCGAAAGCTGGTGTCACTGCTGTACTTTCGTGAACAGCGCTTCGATATGACAACAAAAACGGTTGTATGTGCTTGTCCCAATCTCGTTGCCGATTGTCTACAACTTTTGCTAGGTACCTCTCCAATGTCTGATTAAATTGTTCTACCATTCCATCAGATTGCGGGTGATAAGAAGTCGTTCTTGTTTTAAGAGTACCCATAACTCGGCAAGTTTCCTGGAATATTTGAGACTCAAAATTCCTTCCTTGATCGCTGTGAATCTCTAAGGTAGGTACTCCAAAAGTCGCTAGGTACTCCAAAACGACAGAAGACTTCATGAACTAGTTTATCTGCAACTGTTGAAGCTTCTTGATTTGGAATGGCGAAGACTTCTGGCCACTTAGTGAAGTAATCCATCACAACCATGAAATACTTGTTACCGCTTTCACTCTCCGGAAACGGCCCCGCCACGTCAATGGCTATTCTCTCCCATGGTGCACCAACATTGTACAACTTCAATGCACCTCTACTACGAGTCTGAGGTCCCTTTACAGCCGCACAACTTGTACATTTGCGACACCAGTTCTCGACATCGTTTCGACAGTGGACCCAGTAAAACCATTCTTGGATCTTCAGTAGAGTTCGTTTAACTCCCAGATGACCTCCTGAACAATCATTATGGTACAGCTGTAGAACATCCGGTACTTTAGCTTTAGGGACAACCATTTGCAAATGACAGCTGTCTCCCCGAACATTTTCCCATTTACGACACAGAACTCCATCCTGAAGCAGCAAGCTGTCCCACTGGGCCCAATAGCTTTTAGTGGTCGAACTCATCGCTGAGACGTCACTCCACTTGGGCTTGGGAGCACTGGCCTTTATCCATTCCAGAATCGGCTTAATGTCCGGATCTTCCTGCTGTGCATGTAGTAAGCTGTCCTTCCACTCGTTGCTGAGGTGGTCTGCCCTGAGCATCCTCACGGATACAACTTCCTTACTCTCTTGCCTAGTACAATGTTTGCAATCTTCAGGACAAGGTCTTCTTGACAATGCATCTGCGTTGCCATGAGATTTCCCGCTGCGATGTCTGATAGTAAAGTTGTATCCCGGCTGCTGCTGGGTGGTGATGTTAGCCGCACTTCCCTTCCGAGATCCTTCACCTTCCCTTTCTAGGGTTCGCTTAGGGCAGCTGGATCGAAGATGGCCACTTTCCCCACAGCCATAGCACCTAGGGCTGTATCCTTTATTGTGGTCGCGAACCGTAACTGCTGCAACCTCCCTAGCGCGAGGGGAACGACGATCCTGCCACTGCCAGGCGGTATCGTTAGCTGTACTACCCTCTCGAGATCGATCAACTCTCCTTTCTACAGTTCGCTTAGGGCAGCTGGATCGTAGATGGCCCTTTTCCCCACATTCGTAGCACCTAGGGCTGAATCCTTTGTTGCGGTCGCGAACTGTAGCTGCTGCGATCTCCCTGACGCGATGGAAACAATGATCCTGCCGCACGGCTTCTACCTCCAGTGCATGGGCCAAGGCGTCCTTAAGCGTCTCGTGATGCCTGAGCCTCACAGCAGCTCTGATTTCCAGGTTGCGGATGCCGTCGATAAATGTCTGCACCAGGTTCCCTTCAATGAGCGCAGGTACAGACCGGTATGCTTTTCGCACTAGCTTCTCCACCTCTAGAGCACACTGCTGCAAGTTTTCGTTGATGCTTTTCACGCGATCCTTAAGCTGCGCGCGAAAGACGTGTTCCAGGTGAGCGTCACCATATCTCGCCTCCAATGCCTTAAGGAGCTGCTCGTAGGTCACTTTCTTACCGAGAGCTTCCAACATGGTTAAGGCTTGGTCGCGCAAGCCTAAGGTGAGTGCAGTCATGGCCTGGCTTTTATTCCAGCCGTTTGCCTCCATGACGGCCTCGAACTGGATTTTATAGGCCGACCACGAAGAAGTCCCGTCGAACGGCGGCACTTTGAATCCACGTAGCGAAGTTGCTGTAGATACTACGGGAGCTGTAGTTCCATCCCCAAGTTTGAGGTCGTTCAGCGTTTTCTTCACGACAGCCATCACGTTGTCAACCCGATTGTTCACATGGTTGATTCGGGTTTCATGTTCTTCGATTCGGGTTTCAGCTTCCAACAGGCGGTTGTCATGTTGAGCAACCCCATCCTTCACCTCCCTTATCTCTTTCGCAAAGGTAGCGTGAGGGTCCTTCATGAGGAGCATCTGTTCCCCCTGTCGGCGGGCCTGTTCCTCTTGTCCTCTCTGCAGCTGCTCATTCAACTGACGGGCCTGCTCATCCTGTCGGCGAGCCTGCTCCTCCTGTCGGCGAGCCTGCTCCTGCAGCATCACCATCAGAGCACCTAAGTCAGGTGCTGCAGATGTAGGAGCTACCGACGGGCCTGCAGCCGGTGGCTGGCCCTCCGACGTCTGCGGCGTTGCAC